TATGCCCCAACTCTGTAGAAACTCATTGAACCCTCCGGCCTCGAATTGGGTTCCGTTGTCAGTGATGATCTGCTGAGGCACCCCAAATCGACACAAAATTTGCTTGGAAACGAACTTCGTCATCTGTTCTGCAGTGATGGTAGGTACGGGGGCGGCCTCGACCCACTTGGTGAAGTAGTCGATCGCGACCACCAGGTACGTGTTGTTCCCTGTCCCCCGAGGCAAAATGCCGACCAGATCGATGCCCCAACGAGCAAAGGGAATCGCCGTACTTATCGGGGTGTAATTCGTCGCCGGTCGCCCCGGCACCCTCTGGAACTCCTGGCAAACCTTGCATTTGCGCACATACTCTGCACAGTCTCTAATAATCGTTGGCCAAAAGTATCCTTGTAGGGTTACCTTCCTGGACATCGTGAAGGCTCCCTGATGTGCTGAGCATATTCCCTCATGGATTTCCTCCATTAACTTCTGTGCCTCGCCCGCTCTTAAGCACCTCAACAATGTACCATTATACGATCGCTTGTACAGACGACCGCACTCCAGCGTGTAGCCGGGTGCACGTCGCTTCACCACCTTTGCCGCGATTGGGTCGGCAGGTAGCGACTCGTCAAGGATGTACATGGTAATCTGATCAATCCAATCCGGCTCTTCTTTGAGTGCGATGATCAGCACTTCACCGGGACTAATGCTTGGCTCGAGCAACTCTTCTTCTTGGGTCATTGCCTTAATATGATCCGGGGAATCCGGACCAAGTTTCGACAAGATATCTGCCTCAGCGTTCTCTTCCCGAGGGACCTGCTCTATCCGGTACGCCCCAAATGCTTTAAGCAACTCCAGGGCAGTGTCTCTATACTTCTTCATTCGTTCATCCTTAGCCTCAAACTCTCTAGTGACGTGGCCTACTACGAGCTTAGAATCACACCGGACTTGGATCCGTTCAGCTCTTAATGAGGCTGCCAACCTTAGGCCACAAAGTAATGCCTCGTACTCGGCCTCATTGTTCGAGACTTTAAATCGAAACCTCACAGAGTAGTAAGCTTTGAACCCTTCTGGGGATATCGCCACGACTCCTCCCCCCGAAGCATCAGTCGCGGACGATCCATCGGTGTACACAGTCCACCAACTTCCTTCGGGTTCCTCTCCGCTAGGTCCTACTTTTCTTGCGGTGCATTCTACCACGAAATCTGCTAATGCTTGCCCCTTTATCGCCGGTTGCGGCTTGAACTCTATCTGGAAAGACCCCAGGAACACCCCCCACTTGCTGACCCGTGATGGGGCATTTGGGCTTCGAAGAAGTGTTCCAATAGGATCTGGGATAACACGTGGACCGGATGGGCTTGAAAATATGGCGTAAGCTTTTTTACCGTACATACCACCGCAAAGATGGTTTTCTCCATGTTTGTTTATCTCAGCTCCGCCCCTCGTAACACCCGTGCCACATAGTATACTGGTCGCTGTGCGCCCTCCTCCTCCTTCACTAGCACTGAGCTCACAGCTCGAGGAGAGATTCCTAAGTATAAGAATAAGGTCTTTCCGGGCTCTGGCTTCGAAAGCACCAGCGGGGAGAGGAGGTATGCTTTCAACCCTTCAAAGGACCGTTGACATTCTTCGGTCCAGATAAACCCTCTGCTCTTCTTGATGGTCTGAAAGAAAGGAGCCGCTCGATCGGCTATCTTTGACAAGAAGCGACTGAGAGCTGCAATCCTGCCGGTCAGCTGCTGGACCTCCTTCACGTTCCTCGGAGGTTCCATTTCTAAGATTGCTTTCACTTTCTCTAGATTAGGCTCAATTCCCCTCCGACTGACCATGTGTCCTAGGAACTTGCCCCCCTGAACCCCAAATGTACACTTCTTAGGGTTAAGGCGAAGCTGGAACTTCTTCATGATCTTGAACACTCTCTCCAGGTCGCCGGCATGGGACTCAACCCGTCTGGACTTGACAATCATGTCGTCCACATATGCTTCCATGCATCCCCCCAGCACTGGCGCGAACAACTTGTTCACCATCCGTGCATAGGTCGCCCCAGCATTTTTCAAACCAAAGGGCATCACCTTGTAGCAGTACACCCCGTTGGGGG